ACGCCAGCGTGGAAGGAGGAGATTGGACCATGTGATGGACTGTGGGTGTAGGGACAAGATCATGAACTTTTAACTGGGTGGGATTCTGATGTAACTTCCAGAGTTGGGATCCCCACAGCTGTGTGTCAACATGCCTGCTTTATTAAATTGGAACTTTAAGCAAAGTTTTGCCTTCGATTCTGATTTGATTCTACATGGTATTTGGAACGCTGACAGCAGTCTTTAAAAGGGAAAACCAATACAGAAGGCAAATGCCAAATACTGGGGGGCAATAAAACAATGGGGAGGGGGGGGAGCGGAGTGGGATCTGTTGCTAAGCGATCAATCACCTCCCCCATGATGCTCCCCTATTAGAGCCCCAAGCTAACTGGTAGGGCCAGCTCTGTAGGTTCTTGGGGGAGCATCTTAGCCACTGAGCCCCCACTAGAATAGACCCACCCAATTCCTGCCACCCTCCTCCGTACATTTTTAGCCTCCAGCCCCCTCTGCCCCTCTCCTACTTACTTGAGCCTCCCCAGCCGTTTGGGCTTGATGGCCTCCAGTTTCCGCTTGGCTTCGCGCCTCTGCTTCCGGCGCTGCAGCTCGGCCTCCCGCTGCTTCAGCTGCAGCCGGATGGATTTCAACTGAAAGAGCTCCTGCTTCCTCAGCCGGGCGGCCTTCTCCGACAGCTCGCGGGCTTTCTGTGCCGGGAGAAGCAGCAGCAGGGGAAAGGGAGGGCGTGAGTGCTGCGTGGGGGGCAGTTGGGTTTTCCTTCGGGGACTACAAAGCAAAGGGCCGCGCGCCTTCTTCCCACCCCCTGCCGGCGTGGTCTCCGTGGGCCCAGCCGCCCTGCACAAGCTGGCATCTCCCCTGCTTCTGCAGAGCTCCCGCAGGGAACAGATGGCAGCGCGAGGCTGGGCCAGATGGTGGGGCGTTTTTCGTGAGCCACAACATCCTCGGCGGAGAGGTTCAATAAGCGCCTGTTGGCAAGGGGCCCAGAAGGCACCCCCCAGAACGCTGGCATTGTTGCTTCAAGGACAGCAAGGAGAGCTTGGCAAGGAATCCCTGCCAGGTTCCGTCACACAACACACAACACCGGTGGACCCAAAAGAAACAGTGCTGGGCTTCTGTTTTCTGCCTTCCCCCAAGTTAACAGAATTAGAATTCAGTGCCCGGATTGCTCATTTACAACAACAAAGCTGTGAATTATTTCAAGCAGTGTATGTATATATATGCCTGTCTGTCTGTCTCTATCAATATATACACACATACATACATATATATCTGTGTGTGCGTGCATGCGTGTTCCATCATAACTCTGGAACGCCTCGAGCAATTTCAACCAAACTTGGTACACAGATGACTTACTCTCTGGAAATAAATACTGTGGGGGTAAGACACCCCTAGGAATTTGGGTTGTTATGATACAGCCTGTTGTGCCTTAAAATAGCTTCTACTGTACAGCGCAGTGGAGTTGTACGGCTTCACATTACTCCACAAGGGGGCTCCCTCTGGTAAAGGGGAAAATCCAACATTAGAAATTACGCTTGGTCCGGACATTTTCCCCCTATAAATAAATACCCGGAGAATATTGGGTTATCAGCTAGTTTTACCTTAAAATCCCCTTATCTGCATATTCCACGGAGGGCCAGAAATATGGATTTTCTCCGCAGTGGAAAGTGAAATCTTTCAAGGCAACCAGCCCCACCTTCTGTAGGCTTCGTCTGCTGTCATGGAAATACACTTTTGAGCCGTTGGGAAAGGCGGGACTGCTACCTTCAATGGCAAGCCCACGTGGGCTGGGAACCAGGGGGATTGTAGTCTTAACCCTTCTGGAAATTGAGATTTCTAGAAGGGTTAAGACTACAAAGTCTTTTGTGCAAAGCAGATTTCTCTCCCCCCCCCCCCAAGTCTCCATGGGCTAGGCCAGGGGTCAGCAACCTGCGGCTCTGGAGCCGCATGTGGCTCTTTCAGCCCTATGCTGCGGCTCCCTGTTGCCGGTCGGCTCCGCAATTAGTAGGGCTTTCTGTTAGGACAGGTAGAGGAAAAAGGACTGTTAGAAGGAGACTCTATGGTGGGGGAACCGGACTTCCGATCAGGAGAGGAAAAAGGAGGCTGTGCTAGGAGGAGACTCTATGGTGGGGGGAACCAGACTTCCGGTCAGGAGGGGAAAAAGAACGCCATGCTAGGAGGAGACTCTATGGTGGGGGAACCGGACATCCAATTGACTTCAGAATTGAACTGGGGGATTCCGGTTAGGACCTTTATGGCTCTTTAGAGTGTTTATGGTTGTCGACCCCTGGACTAGGCGAACTCACCAACCGTTTGGCGGCTTTTTCTTTCTTGCGCTGCTGCTCCGTTTTCTTTTCTCTGACCACCGTTGCTGTGAAGAGAGGGGAGGCTTCGTCGGAGACGGCCTGCGGATCCTGCTCCAGGGGTCCTGGTGGGCTGCCCTGCCCTTCCTCGCCCTCCGATTCCTCTTCCATGAGGCCCTCGCACTGTTCCTGAAACACGGACTCCTGGGAAAGAAGGCAGGAGAGGAGAGGAGCTGAAAGGGGAGGCAGGCCCGTGCCCGCGGTAGCCCAGGCGGTCAGAGACTGGTCTCTGGGATTCCCTGCGCCTCACAGACTCACAATGAACTGCGCATCCCTCAATGAAAATAAAGGACAAAGAGGAATCGGAGTTTCAGCCCAACCCACCTCACAGGATTGTTGTGGGGAAAATAGAAGAATGAAGGAGTATTAAGTATGTTTGCCGCTTACAATACAATAGCAGAGTGGGAAGGGACCTTGGAGGTCTTCTAGTCCAGTGTTTTTCAACCACTGTGCCGCGGCACACTAGTGTGCCGTGACATAGTGTAAGGTGTGCCGTGGGAAAAACACTTTATATATAGTCAATATAGGCACAGAGTTAAATTTTTTTAACATTTTCTAATGGTGGTGGCCTCGTGATTTNCAACATGCCTGCTTTATTAAATTGGAACTTTAAGCATAGTTTTGCCTTGGATTCTGATTTAATTCTACATGGTATTTGGATCGCTGACACCAAATTTTTGTTGCTAAACAAGACAGTTATGTGATTTTTGCCTCATTTTACAACCGTTCTTTCCAAAGTTAAGTGAATCACTGCAGTTCTTAAGTTGGTTGCTATGTCAATCTGGCTTAGCAACTCTTAGCAAACACAGTTATTAGATGAATCCCCATTGATTCTGTTTGCCAGATCACAAAAGTTGATCACATGACCCAGGGACACTGCAACCATTAAAATGTATGCCAGTTGCCAAGCATCTGAATTTTGATCATGTGACACCATGGAGATGCTACAATCTAAGTGTGAAAAATGGTTGTAAGTCCCTTTGTTCAGTGCTGTTTTCACTTCAGTCACTAAACAAATGATTGTTAGTCAAGCACTATCTGTAAACTACGTGGATGAAAATAAACATTTTGAAATCTAAATTCAAGCTGTATTTCTATCATCCAGAATACATTCAAAAATATCAGTTCCTAGATATGCCATCCTATTACTTGTGCGTAACATCGCATCTGCCCTCAAACATAGCAAATTGTCTGATCCAGAATTATGCAGTAAACAAGCTGAATCAAATGAATCTATGAGCACTACAACTAAACCTTTCTGGAGATACATGTTAACAACTCAATTTATTTCATTATTCCTCTGTAATAGAAGTGATGATATAATGCGGTTGTGGTACAATTTTATCAACCTTGTATTCAGCTCTCTATCAAATACTGTAGACTTGGTTTAGGAAAGTCAGTGTAAGGACTTATTTCCTCACATTGTGTACTTTCTACAAAAGCCATTTTTCTACTAATGGATATTCCAGCTGCAGTCCTATCAAATCATACTATGGTCATTACACATGAGTAATGTTTTATCTCCAGAGTCATTTAAGGCTCATTTAATATATATTGCTCCCTCCCTCCTCCCCTCTCTCTAGCGGCCTCTCTCATAAGCCCATTATATCAGACATTTTTCATTCTTTCAACAAAGCCCTTATAAAAGCATTGCTGAATTTTCTCCCATCTACTCTGGCATTTAGAAATGATGCAGCTATTAACCGTGCAAAGTCTGGGAAAGTTGTCTTGTTAAAAAAAAAAAAAGAGGTTCCCATTCTGGAATACCTATATCCATATCCCTAAACATCTAAACAGTTTGAAATAGAAAATATAAATATCCAAGATTCCGTTTACTGAATTTTAGGTGTGGAAGCATCAGGGATCAATCAAGAAAACAGTATACAGCCCTTTAAACATATAGTTCGTAACTTTTTGCATTAACTGAATGCTGACGTTTGGAAAAAAAAATAAGAATTTTAATATATCAGGAAAGAATAGGGTGCTGAAAATAACAGTGCAAATCAAAAGCAAAATTGTTCCCAATTTGGGATTATGCACTGGAAAAAGTAATATGCCACTACAGGCAGAGGTGGTATTCAGCCAGCTCGGACTGGTTCGCCTGAACCGGTAGTGGAAATCATGGATAGGCCTGCCCACCCACCCTAGCCAGGGATGGGTTGTTGCTGGCATTACTGCTGGTTCGGCACACACAAAAAATTGCTTTGCTCTCACACACACACCAAACGCATAGTTTGCGTGCATGCACATTTGGACCTAAAAAAGTTATGTCCATGCGCACAGCCTTAGAAAAGGAAAAAAAATTGAATTTCTGCAATGAAGTTCTGCGCAATCAAGATGGTGGCGCCAGCAATAGAACCAGTTCAGGGCATGGCTCTATGCCAACCTATTTAGGCATGTTTTCAAGCCAAAACGCATGTACGGAAGGCCGAGTGCATGCACGGACCGGGTGCGGGCACTCACATTTGCGAACCAATAGGGAAAGTAAGTGACTATCACCCCTGACTACAGGACAAGAGGTATACCTGATCTCATTTTATTTAGCAGTAGCAATAGCACTTAAGACTTATATACCTCCCCATAAAGCTTTACAGCACTCTCTGGGTGTTTATAATATCACCCAACCATCAGGGTGCAAGGTGCAAAAGAAATAATTGCTAAAATATATAAATGTTATTGAAATTCGAAACAGAAGAATACATCAAAGAATGCATCATAAAGTGGATTAAATCCTTGGTTATAATACACAAATGGAACAACAGGAAAATATGTGAAATCATTGGAAATTTTCTTAAGATTTTTATAAAATGATGTACCATTGGTATATGAATGGAAAAAAAATATATCCAGAATGCATAAAATACTTCAAATTTATGTTGGAAATGTGAGCATCAAGAACAAGGTAACTTTATCCTGCTTACTAGACATGTTAAAAAAGCTAGAAAATATCTGGTTGAAATGCGTACATTGATTCAGAGGATTTTAAAGATTAACAGTCAATCGAAAGCAGAACTCTTACTCCAGGAAATGATAGATAAACAGTTAGTAAAAAGCAATGAAATACTGTTTTTATATATGATAACTACAGCAAGATTATTGTATGCACAAAGTCAGAAAGATTTGGCAATACCTACAACGGAGTAGTGGTTGATGAAGACAACTGAATTTGCTGAAATGGCTAAATTGACTTGTTTGATTAGAGAAAAGACACTATCTACATTTATAGGTTATTGGACACCCCTTATAGCAGGGGTCTCCAACCTTTTGGACCTCAGGGACCACTAAATTCATAATTTTAAATCCCGCGGACAACTAATATGATATCCCTAATGACCAGCTGGGTGGGCATGGCTAGATGGTCATGTGACTGGGTAGGCATGGCCAACCCAATGTTACTCACGTCAAAGGGCGCCTCACCAGCCTCTACTCACCCCTCCTCTCCCACCCACTCCTCCCCTGCCCACCCAGGCTCCTTAGGACCCTAACAGGAAGCAGTTGTTGGAGCTAAGCAGCCACCATGAGAAAGAGTTGGCAAAACAGCTGGCTC